AGAAGAAGGAGAACCTGATTTTGTTCACGATAAAGGCTGTTAAGGGAGGGATGACATCAGCAGGAATCCTCCTGAAGCCATGAGGAGCCCGAGAAGAATAATGTAAAGTTTGAGCTACTTAGTTTTCTCTATATTTTAATATCTCCTATTATTCCATGAAATGCAAGTGTGTCTAGGAAGTAACGATTTTTATATAAGACGTGCTTTAATAAAATAAAAAAATGTGCAGGGAAAGGGCAGCCATTAAAGAGGAAGTGCTCATAATGTACTATAATCTCAAGAGTATACGTATCCACCCTATATTTGTCTATCTAATACTCTTTGTCTTGAGATGTATCATCATTTGAACAATCCCTGAGATATTTCACGTGTTGCTATTAAATCAGCAACATTCTATTAATCTGTTGCTTGTATCTATAAGAGTAAGTCAGAGTCCCACTGTATATGGGAACAAAACTGATATGGCAGGCGTCTAGTATTGATGGTTAAATTATTCTTGAAAGTTCTCCACTGATATCCGCAGAATACGTGTCTATGACGAGTATGTGCACTCGGGGGTAAATGCTATTTTCAGTTTATTATAGGAATGTAAGACAATGGCTCTAAACATTAGGATATATAAAATAGAGTTATATTATATGCTTCAGTAACGGTAGGGTGATGTTATGTAAAGAGTAGCATCTCAGGAAAGAAATAAGTGCCAGTGACCGTATTCATATGTGAGTAGTACGCACGGGTTCACGCTACAGATACAAATAGTGAATTCAGACATGATTATGCTTAGCAGGAAAATAACACACAAGTAGATAGGCTCATGCAATATAATGAACTGTATAGATCCTCAGATATTAGAAGAGGAAGAAGGATATGACTTCTTGAAAGGAGAAACGAAATATATGAATCGCCACATAAATGACATAGATCTGTGGATGTCTGTGAACATACCCAGAAGAAAAATGGTGAAGACTAGTGTTACTCCCTGTAATCCTGAAACGAAGGAGGGAATGAGCAAGCACAGATACTCCTGAACATGATTATACAGGAGCCATGGAGATAAGAAATAGCTGAGCACATTCACCAATACTGAGAGTACGAAGCAGGAGACAATATTAGAAGAGAATAACTGTTTATGGCATGATAAAGAGGTTTAGGGAAGAATTGTGTTAGATGTATCATATAGAGAAATAATTCGATCCTACGAGGAGTTACAGACAAATATGCAACTCTCTATGTATGATAAGCTCCATCAGCAATTATTTTTGTGAATATTGCATCCTCCTAGTTAAAGTGAATGGTGCGGAATTACCTATATTGCATTACACAAGGATACGTAGGGGGATGCCCTCGTGATGTGATACACAGGCGTATCCAACCGTGTAGTCTACATACGTTACTTCCTTTCCAGTATTAATAATTATGTTAAAAGGCATTCTGTTTCAGGAGACACCTACGGAATAATATTCGGCTAAATAATAAGACATAACAGGGTTACTGTGTTTTGTAACAGTTAACAATGGAGTCTGTGTGCCATGATAATTAACATAAGGATGGTAAACACATGTATCGGAAATGAATGGATAAGAGCAGGTAATCTCGTTATAATGAGACTTGAAGGATCCTCTTTCAATATGGAGAATTCAAGAATTTCAGAAAGTGCTAATTACAATAATCGGTAAAAATCCGCTGGCATAGATTTAAGATATCGTGTGTATTCATTTCCGAGCGTACTGCGCAAGGACGGTGGAATGATTAATTTGTGAAATTGGAGAGCCGTTTCACGTTTTGAGACTAGATTCCATTTCACCCATACATGAAAACAATAGGATTAACTGGATAAGGTAATGCTATGTATACATCCCGTGGGGTTCAATTAAGATGAGCCAGCATTCGGTATAGGGATCAGTCATTAGGAATATCACAATGGCGCATAGAGTGTAATAATGACAGTCCAGCGGAAGAGTTGAGGCAGGAAGGAAGTGTTATATGTGAATTAAGTGTAAATGAGATAAATGAAGAGCGCGTGTAA